ATTTTCCACAGAAATGCTAGTTATGTGTTTCAGTCAGGATTAATTTAGATTTTTTTTTTTTATTCCCACATGTATCAGAATCATTCATCGAGGGGAAGTTCTTATATATCCATTCCCAGAATCCTCTTAAGACATCTGGTCTCATTAGAAGATCAAATAGATCCTCCAGATTCATTAGTTGTTCAACAAAGTGGGAATTAGTTTCTCACTGCTCTTGTGTTTGTGAGATATTTAAGATATAGATGAGAGAAAAATAACAAAGAAAACGTACAATCTTCTTGACTCACAAAGACAGGTCTTTCACCAATGTGAGGAGGTCTTAAGTTTGCTTTTAATTTCCAAAAACACAAGGAAAAAAAGTCAAGAGTATCAGCCATCCTAAGATTTGGTTTGAAGATTAGAAGGTGCATGGGATTTACGATATTACCTCAGAAAACACTTCTAATACATTTATAATTAGTGGCTCATCTATCACCTGATTGCAATCTTGTATTCTCTTGCTGTGTCTTTTCACAAACATACGTTAAAAGTAACCCATGCTGAATATGCAGGGCATCAAGTAGAATTGTATTTAGCCATTTTAACTGCTGAGCACAACCCGTATGTTACTGAACCAGATTCTCCCACAGAGTACACTATCTGTAGAGGGTAAGGTATTAAAGAATGCTCCGGACACGCTCTCGAGGCTCAGAAGTGCTAGCTGGTAGATCCACTCTACTGAATGATACCCCAGTGGCCTGAAAGAATTATTGTAGCTTTCCAAAGTGACTCATTCACTCCCAGGGGGTCGTCTGAGCTCAGAGAAAATCTGTCTCACTGATTATTAGTGATTTAGTAATTGGATGGTAGTGATGGACTTCTGATAACCTAGAGATTTGCTTTAGCTTCACTGGCAAAGACCTGTGTTTTCAGAGTCAAAGGTTACACTGCCTATTTGTGTGTGTTTCTTGGGGGTGGGGAGGGGGGGCTGTACAAAGTACTGCTTTTCAGAACCTGAATCTGTCAGTCCCAATTCTGACATTTAGTAGCTCTATCATCTTGAGCCAAGTCACAATTCCACTCCTGCTTTTACCTATCTTCATAGGTAAAATCAAGAGGTGGGTCAAATGATCTCCACCATGTCTTCAAACTCCGGAAAAATCTGGTTTCTAGGCCTGGAATATCTTCCGATGCATATGTGCTGTTTTGAAAGCTACTAGTTTCATAGTATTAATTTCATTGTTCTCATGCCAGTATTTTGGATTGGAATTAGAATTGGTCCTTACAGGTGTATAGAAAAACAGAACAGCTCACTTATGTGTCCGCATCCCTTCTTCCCTAATCATCTTCCAGCTCTGAAATTGCACGGTTTCTAGGCGTATACAGTCTTTTTTTTTTTTCTTTTGCTGTTTATGTGCTATTACATGAACTGTGAGGTGGGGAGTTATAATTTCCTCTTTCTCATTACAATATTTTGAATAGGAACCAGAATATCTTTTTTGCACCTTGTAGCCACGTAGAAAAACAAAACCACACCCACCAAATTCCCTCTGACCCTTCTGTTACCTTAAATAGTAAACAAATGAAATCTGTATTCTCTCCTTTTATACATGGTAGAGAGTGTAACTTGTCCTGGAATAATGAGCAAGGGGTCATTTGCAAAACTGCCTTATTATCCTATTACTCTGTGGGAACAAATATGTGACTTTTCATCTTGGGGTCATAGAGGTATAAGCAATCTGCCCGTATATCACTTGATGGGTAATTTGTTGTGAAGTTAACAAGAAAAAGACAAAGGTTTAAAGGGGGGCATTGATCTTCCCAAAGGACTATTTAAAAATCACAACTTTTGCAGGAAGATAGGGTGAGGACTGGGCTGCAGGTTTCGGGGATGTGTTGGAAGCCATGCCAGAGGAAAGAGGCCTTTTTAGGACTTCCACTTAGCAATGCCAGGTAGGCAATGCCCAATGGATGGCCTACAAAACCTTCCCTAGAGCAATGTTTCTTGAACTGCAGGTCATGCCTCATTAGTGGGTCATGTAACCAACTAAAATTTTAAAAACATGTAAATTAGACTAAAGCAAAATAGAGTAGAAAATATCAGAGTGCATGGCAAGGAGAAGGTCATGTCATGTCTAGTCACACTCTGGTTCATTTTATATTGTGTATGTATGTTTCTCTGTGTGTGTGTGTGTCTGTGTGTGTGTGTGGTAGAGAGAGAGAGAGATCTGTTTCGGTACACCAAGTCCCAATGTAAAATATATTCTTACTGCAGGTCATAGTTTAAAAACTTGAAAGCCATTGCCCTGGAAAAATACATGGCGATGCACATGTCTCAATGTTGGCTTCCAATAGCTTGCTCTATTTTGTGACAAATTTATAAACAAAAGGAAAAGGAATTCTTCCAAATGTGAACTGTCACCTTCTAACTCTAAATTTAAACTGCTCCTAAATTATTCTAAATTCTACTTTTTCTTCTCTGAAAAATACTTATATTGAATCACTCTTTTCAATGCAAGCTCGAGGCAAAACAGAAAATGGGTCAAGTTTGTCTTTCTTTCCTGGGGGCACTTCCTACCCCTTTAAAGCACCCCCACTAATGTCTGTACTTTCTTTCCCTTTCCTTTTTTCAAAGCATCTTCTCATGAAAGACTGATAAATGCATTAAACAACAATATAAATGACTGATAATGCTTTAATATACCCCATTCCCAAAGGATTTACATTTTAGCCAAATATGAAACCTCACACCCCATAAAAGAATCTTGTAGAATTTAGCTGCAGGGGGGAGGAAAAGAGAATTTTGGAGAGAAGAGTGCTTTCGTAGCACTCTTAAAATCCTACCTGTGGCTGTCTATATTCTCTTCATAATGTTTCCTTTTTGACATGTAAATGATATGCATAATTTCTTCCCCTGTGGATTTGTGAAATACAACTTCAGCTGTTTTTTAAATAGATATTTATGAAACTGTCTTATCATAAATCTTTGAGAGGAAATATCTTTTGTCTAACTCAACTTTGTATTCATCTTACACCCAACTTACTGTCTAGCAAATTTAAGTCCTCAATTAGTAGTACTTATGACTGTTTATTATAGAATTGCACTGCTCTATAACATATGTGGTGATATTGTTTCCCCAATGTCAAACTAGGAAAAAGCACAACTGCTTGCTTTTATGCTGAATATCAGATAGTATTATGTAAAATCTCCAGACACTGGTCATAAAACCACAATAATAATGATTTTAAAAGAACACTAATTTATTGAGTATGAAATGTATGCTAGGCTCCCAGTCCTAGATATTGTGCCTACATGGTCTCATTTCTTCCTTGCAAAACCTCATCAATGGTGAAAGTATTGTTATGCCCTCCATACCCCCTATACCATAAACACCACAGGTACAATTTTACAGATGGGAAAACTAAGTCTAGAAATTAACATCCTGCCTACAAAGACACAATTATTAAGTAAGTCATAGCAAACAGAGCTTTAACTCGAAGTGAGTCCTTCTGCCTGCAAAGGTCATCATGCTTTCCTCACTTTTACACGTCTTAATGTTGTACCTAAAATCATCGCTTTCTGTTTCATTTCAGATACCTTACTGGCCGTCTGAAGGACAAAGCTGTGAGTGTTAAGAACACCAGGAAGTTTTCTTCGTTTTGGTTTTTCATGAAAAACGCTTCATCACAGAGTGGTTACATACCCAGAAAATACCTGGCCTGACCGTGCTAACTCAACGCATTCTGCTTGTCCTCTGCGTTTAGTATCTATCTCCACTTTCAGCCCTCTTTAAATGGAGAGATAAAGTTCAAGAGAGTAAAGAGCTGGATTTGTCAACACTCTTAACCGCCTGGTGGTAGTATTCTATCAACTTCTTTGGATCTGTTCAGATAACTTTTGTTTCCCTGTACAAATCGCAGTGCTTAATAAAGACTGCTATGAAAAGCACTGTCTCCCATTTGCACACAAGTTTCACATTCCCTGGTCTATCTACACAGTTTTCAACAACCACCCTTTACATTAAAAGTCGGCTTTGTATTGTCCTTCTCTCAAAGAATTTTAAATCCCCTCCAAAAATCCTAGGTGTTCAGAAGCCACAGATCTTTAGCAGCTATGTCTACCCCCATGACAGTAAAAGGAAGAAATTGATTTTGCAACAGATATACTGAGAAATCAAATCCAGGATTCACCTTTGCTCTTAAAACAGAGAATGAAACCACTGACTACCAAATGTGCTTTGGTAGCTACTCTTGGATTCCGAACTTCAATATCACTTTCCCGTATTAATTCAGTCTTAAGTTTCAGGAAATAAAATAATTACGTAGTTAAACAGAGATCCTTATACAAACATGTACTGTGTTTACAATGTACCAATCCATTAAAATCAATGACAGACATAGATTATGAGAACTAAAACCTGAGCCAAGTAGACTAGCACTCACCATTTGCCCAATCCCCATCCAATGACAGTAAACATCCTATTGGAATCTGCTCCGAAAACAAAGGCTTTACCAACCTAATGTTAAGGTAAACAGGTAGTAAATACCTATTTGACACTAGTAGCCAGTGGTATCATTTTCATTCTTTAGGGTCTAAACACAACTAAATGCTGGCATTTTTTCTTTTAAATTGGCACCATTATAATAGAGCTTTTTACTTGGTAATTTTTAAAAAAGTTCACAAGGTGCTGGTTCACAATGACTTAAGTTTTCTAGCCATAAACCAGCTGAGTTAAAGAGAGTAATTAAAGACATTCTACTATTCAGAAAAAAAAAAGATTTTTCCTATAGTTTACATGAAATGCCACCCCCCCCAAACTAAGAGCTACATAGAATAAAAGCCCCATCAAGTTAAGCTGCGACAGTCCTGAAGTCAAGGTCATAAGATTCTTCTACTCTGTAAATCATACAAATAAGAAAAGTAAGGAAAACGTATTTTCAACACCAAGAATATATTAATTAGGAACGGAGTTAGGTCTCTCTTGAAAGGGGGATTTAAGTTGTAATAGCTGAAGACATACCTTAAGTTCTCTGAAGAAGATACTACTCCTGGCCCACTCAACAATAGAGAAGAGGGTTTGATCAGCCATTTTGCACATAAGCCCAAACGTGCTCAGCTTTTCGTGCTTGCTTCGGTTAGCTTGTTCTTGCTGCAAATAGGCCATGATTTTAGCCTGGACTTGAGGCTCATCTGGCTCACACTTCAGAAGTTCCAGTATCAGATGTGGGATGCTTGCCGGGGAGCTCGTCTGGTAACTATCCATGTAGGAATAGCCCATTATCGACTCTGGTGAGCTGGTGTAGGGATCTGGGTACTCGGACTTGATGGCCCGGCTAGGAAAGTGACTGTATGTTTGGTAACCTTGCAGGCTGCCATGAGGTGGCATTGTCATGCTAATGGGGGATGTTACAAAGGGACTTCTGTCATAGTCTGTAGGAGGCAAGGCAGCATGGTTCAGAGGTAGGCCTTTGGAGGCAGAATGGATGTTCTGAATGGCAGAAGAGATGGTGAGCTCAGAGGGCATTGCTTGAATCACCTGAGACATGGCTTCTAGCTTAAGTCCATTGGCTCGGATGAGGGCTTTTTTCTGTTGCTTTAGGGCCCTGTCTCTCTTGTACATTGGCCCAAATTTATTCCTTCCCCCGCGCATTCGGTCAGCCCTTACCGCTGTGGGGAAATAAAAAAAAGGAGTAAGGGTATAAATAAGATGCAAATTATTAGCATTCTCTACATCTCCAGCTATCGAGAAATGTTGAAAATTGACCAGAAGTGTTAGGTATGTGGTTGTTTTCATTACAATAGCCCATAAAGATTCCTCCCCCTCAAAAAGCCATTTTTGAATTCTTTTCTCTTTAAGTGTTTGTCATCAAAAAAGTATTTTGGATGCATAGGGTCATATTAACCCTTTGGTAGACAGCGAGGATTTCATAATTTTTGCTACACACAGGGGACACTACAGATTGCTAAGAAAGAGTGTCAGTTTCTATTATGCCAGTTATGTCAGAATTCTCTTTACGGAAACCTGAACTACTGAGAGGAAAAAATAAAAAATCAACCCATTTCTGGATTGAATTGTGAATATTTTCCCTTAGAATATCTTCATCCCTCAAAGCCATTTTGACTAATTAGCTGCAAAAGGGTTGGGCACATTCTCTTCCTGGAAAATCATTTTCACCTGGACTTGATGAGCACACATCAGATAACCACCAGTTATTGTTTTTAATTTAAGAACTGGACATAATTAAAGCAAATTCATTTCAGAAGCTGTGAAGACAGTCTACCATCACAGTGCTGTGTGGACTCTGGGACCATGTCAAATAAGTGAGTCAGCAGTGGTCTCCAAGCCCATAGTGGCCAATGGCAATTAGAAACCAGCGACCTCTGACAGCTTCTGACATGTTGAAATTGCTGGAGGTTGTTTTTGAGCTTTTGATTTTAGGATTAATACGGCATTAAACATTTATTGTGAACACTAGGTATCTAGAATATTGTGCAAGTTTTTCATCTGGATGATAATTTATTGAATATTCCACTTTTTCATATCACTGTTAAAGAAGTATGGTTATGCCCCACGAGTGACTTAGTAATACTTTTTAAGGTAAAGAAATGCAACCTTTTCTTTTCATTAAAAAAAGAGAGAGAAATCAAATGACATCATATGAAGCCACAACATTTACTTGTGTGTGTGTGTGTGTGTGTGTGTGTGTGTGTGTTTTGTTTTTTTAAGTAGGCTCCATGCCCAACGTGGGGTTTGAACTCATGACCCCCGAGATCAAGTGTCACATGCTCTACTGACAGGCAGCCAGGCGTCCCACAACATTTACTCTTTGACATTTTGAGTCTCATATGACAGTATGCATCTCCCACAGTATTTGCTGTTTGGAAAATAATAAAGTGATTGGTAATATAGAAGTTAGTGAGCATTTCTTTCTTGATCTTTCTCCATCTCTTAATAGCAATACAGAGGGGCACCTGGGTGGCTCAGTCGGTTAAGCCTCTGCCTTCAGATTCCTGAGGTCCTGGAACTGAGCTCCAGGGTGGCTCTCTGCTCAGCAGGGAGTCTGCTTCTCCCTCTCCCCCTCCCCCCATTCATGCTTGCGCTCTCTCTCTCTCTCTCTCTCTGAAATAAATAAAATCTTAAAAAATAAGTAAAATAAAAGCAATACAGAGTTAACAGTTCTAATGATAACCAAAGTGGCTACTTCTATTGGGAAAAAAATCTATTAGCAATTTAGCAGATTTATTTGAAATCTTTTGAGTATTTCTATCAAGTCTGAGTGCCACATCACAGGAAAGCTCCACACACAACTAGCCTGTGCCTCATTGATCAACTAAAATGCACTCTTGAATCTGGCACATAACAGTGACACGTATCCCTTATTATTACTTTATTTGCACTATAGTTAAATCTGTGGAAAGTCAGTAGGCTGGAGGCTAAGAAACAGCAACACACCAAAATAGTCCATGAACTACAGACAATATTTACAGCGACCACATATTAACTTTCCTCCCTGCCAATCTGTACATTGTAAATACCAGTTCTACTCTCACAACGTAAAGTCTAACATGGCTTTTGGGGAACCACTATCTTATTCCTGTCAAACCAATGCTACTGATATAATAGTTCATTATATTTCATGTTTTCTACTTTTCAACTTCATTTCACAGCCTTCGTCATCCTAAAAAAAAGAAACGTGTTTTCCCACACAATCAAAATTGATACTCTACACGAGAAACCCCACTGCACAATAAAAGGCTTTAACTCTTGCTCAGGAGCCATGAAATTAATAGTAACAATTGTGACAAGTAAACAATTTAAAAGATTACAATCAGACTTTTACTAGAGCATCCGATTTGAAAACTTAAAAGTATTTTTTTTTTAGTTTTTGCAAATGTTTAAAACTTGTTCTCAGTTGAATCACATTAGTCTTGTTTTCATCTAACCTGGCCTTTTTAGTGTCAAATTCATCTGCTCTCCAAACCAAAAAAAAAAAAGTGGGGGGAAACTCTGATATTTAAATTTTTTCCTAGTAGATGTCACCAGTGTTTAAATGATATACTCAGACATCTCTGCTGACAAAACATAAAAAAGTTCTTACATTATTGTCCATGGTGTTAAAAGACTAGGAAAAGAATGTTATATTCTAAGTACAATGTTATTTTAAATCTTATGTCCTTGGAGAGTTTTAACAGGCAGTAGTCTTTGGAAGAAACTTACCTTCTAGCTTCATTCCAACACTTAGACATTTTTGAAATCGACAGTAAGGACAACGTTTTCTCTGTGTTTTATCAATTTGGCAGTTCTGGTTTTCTATACATGTGTACCTTTTATTATTTTGGACTGTTCGCTTAAAAAATCCCTACAAGACAGAGAAAATAGTGAGGCATATTAAAAATCTAACACCCATCTCTTCCATTGTTTCATTTTAAGGAAATCACCAATAAATCTTTTCATTGAACCAATGAGCCCTTCCGTGGTTTTGTGGTTTGTTTCACATTTTAACAAGATCCACACTCCAAAACAGCACCGGGCCAAAGTGGAGATTTTTCTAGCACTTGAGTTCTATTCCTAGAATTATATCAAATCTCGGGGAGATTTGGATACACTCCATTTCATCTCAACAGTCAGAGAAAAATACATTCTATATTGACTAGTATTAAAACACACACACACACACACACACACACACACACACACACATCTGTTTTCTTATTAATCTCATATTCTAGGTAAGGTACTCATGGAGATCTGCACTGTTTGTAAGCAGTCTGATAGAATTTTAGTGGCAAACTATTGTAAAATAACAGTGGAAAACAGAATAGCAAAACACCCCAGATTTTTTTTTTTCAAATGTCAGCACTCGATAGTTAAGAGCAAAAGGATTTAAAGAGTAAAATGGGTAAGTGTTCATAATTCCATTGGAATACATTCAAGTTGGGGAACTCTGTTAAAAAAAAAAAAAAAAGGTAAAACTAATGGAAAAAAAATTGTGTGAGGCAGAGAGCTGAATTTTAGCAGTGTTTTTCTTATACTGCACCTAAAAGAATTAATGAAAAACAAATTTTGTAGCTTCATAATACAATAACAGCTTTACCAGGATGGTATATTCTTTATGTTTATCCTACTAGCCATAAAGTGAAACAATCTTACTTTGTTATAGAGAATGAAAGGATTTTCCTGCCAGTGGTTTAAGTATTTGTAACTGAGCTTTCTCCTTTAAAAAATGTTGAAAAATAGCAAGTATCAAGTTGGCTGGGAATATATTAAAAAGGTCCGAGATAAATTCTTGATGTAGGGTTGAGATTATTAGGAACAATAAAGTACATTTTACATATTAAAACTTCTTGCATTTAAATAGGTCATATAATGTATTTATGAAAGCTATGCTTACTATAAACTGAGATGTGGTTTCTTATTCTTTATGATATAAATTTCAAAAAATCTTAAGAATTGTTTTTGGAATAAATAAGGATCAAATCACACAGTTGAGAATTTAGACTTTTACCTGTGGATAAAAAATGTTTAGACTTGCAGCACAGAATAGTCTGAAGTTAAAATATATTTGCAAAATACTTTGTCATGTTCCCTCTCAAGAACAACGATGCTTTAAATATATATAATTCAAGCAAAATCAATATTTAGGACTGTTAGAATTCTTTCTACAGATACATCACTTTACTACAATAAAATATTTTAAAGCCACGAGACTGGCAAAATTTTCTAAACAGCATAAATTTTTTTTTGCCTTTGGAATTAAATCAAACACATATTTCAAAGAATCGTCTCCCTAAGACTAACTCTCTCATTTTTAATTGAGTCCAAAAAAGACAGCCTAAATTTAGCTTTAAAAAGCAATCCAATGGTTTATTTTGGTTTTGAACCTTGTATTTGTCAGGTAGCAATGTGTAAGCAAACCTTGCAGCTTTCACAGGTGAGGAGCCCATAGTGGTATCCAGACACTTTATCTCCACACACAGGGCAGAGCTCTTCAAGATCTTCATCATAGGAGTAATTCACCATTTTAAACTGAGACACTGAAACAAAAGAAATGTATATACATAGCTAATTAACTCACTCAGTAGGTTTTAATCCTCCAGTGAGAAGCATTTTGGTAACTGGTGGGCATATATCACAGGTAAAATATAAAATATATTTTTTTATCCAGATGTAGTGAAAAACTATTTTTATACAATGAAAGTAAAAGATCTTTTGGACTCAGCGAGCACGCACTTCCTATTTTTTAACTGAAAAAGAATTTCAACTTGTTTTAAGAATTTTAAACTTACCACTGTTGAACACATAGCAGCTCATAACTGCAAGGCAGCAAATCAGAATAGAAACATGAATTGCAGAAATAACAATTTAGAACTTTAAACCTCCTAAAGTTAAGATTCAAAAATGTCACCTTTGCCTAGGAGAGAGAAACAAGCACACACAGTCTCCCACTCTTGAACTAAGTTTTCTGCAAGTACACCTCGCTCAGCAGGAGAGCAACTCCGACTTGCACACACTTGAGGGAGAGCCTGAAGCCCCAGAAACCTGCTTCTCAGCAGCAGCCCCACTTGAACCACAGCCTGCTGCTCCCTACGTTCAAATCTGTTAGATTAATTGAAACATTCAGCTCCATAATCGACAGGACTCCTGTTCTGGATACTTTCATCTCTTCACACTTGAAAATCTCCTGTAAAAATAGAGAAGGAAAAGAGAGAGGACGCCGGGCAGAGAGGAAAAGATACACACGAGGGTTTGGTTTCGTCGCAAAGTATTAAAGTCCTGTGATAAACTTCACATGTTTCCGATAATCAGTGCAAAATATAAACACCTCCGGATCGCCCTGTTAAAGTTAAACAGAAATCAGGCCGTGGCTCCGAGCGGTTCACTGCGGGGATCGAGTAATCGCCTTCCGCCGGACGCAGCTCTGCGAAGGCGCCTTTGCAGCCAAAAGATGGATAACTATGCACAGGAAGGACAGTGGCCGGGAGATAATACCTGATCTAATCCCTTCCCGAGACTCACCCAGGGTCAGGTGTCGGAGGGCGGACACAGCGGGTACCTGCGCTAAGGGGCAGGTCCGCGCAGCCCGGCACCCTAACCCTCCCGGGCACCTTCCTGTGAAAGACCGGGGTACACTCGCCTCTCGCCCCTTGCTCGGCTACACACAGGCGCACTAACGCAGAGTCGAGTTTAAGTTAATCAGTGGCACTTGAAGGGGGCGGGGGGGGGGGGGCGGGGAACCGATGGCCGGACAGAAGTTTCCTCTGATTTGTTTACCAAAAAGGAAAGAGAGAAATAGCCCCCACCGCATCCCCAAAGTTCCCGGCCACTCCATCACCATAATGTGGCCTCTTCGACAATGACTCGTTCTTTTCCTTATTCTTTTTAAAATAAAGTTCTTTTTTTCTTTATGGATTCTGCAGGCCTCCGCAAAGGGCCGTGGGGAGGTGAGGTCACTTGCACCACTTCGAGGCTGAGGGCCGAGCACAGACCCGCTGAGTTTGAGCCATCTCTTCCCGAGCCACAGAGCCCTGGTCTGGGGCTTAAACCCGAGTGAGTTAGCCAGAGTTTGGAGATAGGGGGTGGGGTCCCCGTGAAAGATGTTCCCGTAGAGGCAGGCTCTTGGGCTCCGTAAAACAGAAGAGATACTGAGCGCAGTCCTCCCAGCGGTGCCAGCCCTAAGAGGTCCGCGCTCGGGTTTTGGGAAGTTGGGGGTTTGGGGGAACTTAGGGTTCGAGAAGTTCGTTTACAGCCCCATCTCTCCCCAAACTTAAACTACTGCTTTGTGGCGTGTTTTAGGGACGGGAAAAACTGTACTTTATTGTTTTTACTCTCCCAAAAAAGTGAAGTCTAAACTTTGCACCTAAGAGGCACAGCGAGGCAAACGTTTGCAGGATTCGGTGCCCGCCTCGGGGATCCAACCCCAAAAGGAGGAGTTAAGGGTGAGGACCCTCTTGGACAGAGTCCGTGTGGGTAGACAGTTGCCGCTGTGCAAGACCGAGGCATCTTTCAGTTTCCCAGGTGCTGTACCCAAGTAGGCATTTGAAGAAGGGAATCCGTTAGGGCAAAGAAGTCCCTGTCTTAAGAAAGTGAAGAGGACGGTGGGGCCTTGTAAAGCTAGGACCGCAGGGAGGCACGCAGAGAAATTCCCCCTAAGTTGGACGCGCTATGCTGTCCCGAAACCCAATGGCGGGTCCCCTTTCTGATCGGATTAGGGCGACTAGGGCGTGTCCCCGGCCGAGACCAGAGCAAGCATGGTAATGGGGTCCCATCCCCAGGGACTGCCCTCGAGGTGTAGGCCGCGTGGCCTAGGGGAAAATCGTGCCCTGGCCCTTTCCATGGTGTTTTCGAACCCGGAGTGAGCGAGCGGCCGGCGACTTCTCCTGAGCCCTGGACACAACGGAGGGCAAACTTCCTGCTTTGGGGCAGTAGGTCCTGTCAAAAACGCCCCTCCCGAACTTTACAGGGAAAGTATTACAGTGGCATTTCCCTCCCATTTCCCCCCACCCCCTGAACCCTTATTCTTGCCTCCCCTACTTCTTGATCCAGCGTTTCTCTGAGCGTCTTTTCCCGAGTGTCAGAAACGCGCTGCGCCGATATGAGCAGCAGGAACTTTCCTTTTGCACCCAAGATCGCGCTGGCCTCAAGGGCGCCCAAAGGGTTGTCCCTCTCCGCAGCTCAGGCGGAGGGTTCCCAGATCCGGCTCCCGGCGCCCGGGTCCCCCACGTCCCCACTTCCCGGGAATCCCAGGTGAGGGCTAGAATGCCTCTTTGGGCCAACCGGGTTCCTCCAGTAGTCAACCCTCAAGTTAGTCTCAGGGGCCGCAGCCCCCAGGGGACTTCCACAGCCCTTCCTGGAGGGTTGGAGAGTCCCCAGGATCACAGTGGGGTAAGCGACCCAAAGGCGTAACGCACGTCTTGCCGCCACCCCCTGTCCCCCAGCCCAGCCGGGCGTCGTCAGGGCCCCCGGGGCCGAGCACTGCAGGCGCGCCGCCTATCCCGCACAGCAGCGTGTAGCAACCCCAAACTCTGGTCGGACTCTACTCTCAACACCTCCCCGGCCCTTTCAAGTTCGCTCAAGGGGATGGCAGGAAGCGTTCCGGGATCACAGGCCCGCCTACCCGCACATCCTGCGCGCTGGAAGGGGCGAGAATGGAAGAGCACCGGTGACTTTTCCTAGCATTGTTCCCTCCCCGGCCCAGAGCAACTGCGATAAACTTCTGAAGGGCTCATACAGCCAGATCTAGAGCCGCTGTTTTGGAATGCGGCAAAAATATTGCCAGCAGAGTTTGCTTTTTTTGTTGTCACCAATCAAGAGCTGGGAAAACAAATAGGACTTCCATACTCCCGGTTCTCGAACTAAAGCGGAGGCATTAAGCTAAACCGCTGCCCCCCACCCTCAACTAACTCGGCAATACCCGCGCAGAAGATGGGGTTGGAGTAACTTTGGATCTCTTCAGTTCTGCTTGCAGTTCTGAAGTTGTCCAAATTATAGCCGGCGCCCAGTGTCCGCATGGGCGTTTGGGGGGGCCCACATGCATTCTAACGCCGCTAGGACAATCTTTTCCGGGGTCATCTTCTCTTTCTGTAGTTAACTTTGCTAGGCAGGGTGTTTTTCCTCCACACAAGAGCACTGATTAAAGTTCCCACCGATTCAGTGACTGAGAACCTGCTCCGGTTTCCAGTGAGGCATTCCATTTCTTAGAATGATCTTATTATTCTGAAGTATCTGTAGCCTGAAGGCAACCCCCCCCCCCCGGGTTGCCATAGATCTCGAAGCCTCTCTTTTCTTAATTAGAAGCGGCCAATTAGGCATTGCTTGGAAAACCTCCGCCCCACATTGTTCAAGAGCCATAAACTTTTATGCCGGTCCCTGGGGTGGGGGCCTGCCGCCCGCGCGCAGCCCCACAGCCCGGCGGCCGCGAGAGCCCAGCGGGGTAGTTCCAGCGCCCGCGAGGGGTGGGCGGCTGAAGCCCTCAGGGCGAGCCCGGGGGTGGCGTGGCCGCGGGAGCCCGAGCGCCGCGCAGCGCCTCCTTACCTTGCATGTTTTCCGGCATCTGCCCCTGTTCCCCATGCGATCGAGCCAGTCCCAGGGCTTCCGTCTCCACTTTGGGCAGCATGACAAGGCGGCCGCGGGCGGGGATAGGGGGTCCGTGTCCGTCCGGAAGCCCAGCACCTGGACACGGGGCAGCACAGATTCAACTCCGGCGGAAAAAAAGGAAGGGCGACTGGGGTGCCGGCTCACCCACCCGCTCGCAGGAGCGTGCCTCCGCCTCCTCCCGGGGCCGAGGGTCAGGACCCCTGAGCCCGGTCCACTCTCGCAACTCTGGAGCCGCCCCCAAGCCGCTGGGAGGAGATGGCCGGCTACGAGATGCGGTGAAGACTGCGTCCGGGCGCCTTGGTTTGGCTCGGCGAGGGCGGAGGCGGCGGCGGTGGCGAGGGCGCAGCTGCCCGGGGCGCGGATCCGAGTGTGGCCGAGCTGCGGGCGGGCAGCGGAGACGGCGGCCAAGCCGCTGGTGCTGCCGCCGCGGCGGTGCCGCTGCCGCTGCCGCTGCCGCTGCTCCCGGACGGCTCGGGCGACTTCTACCCCTCCCTCCACCCGCCCTCTGGCTCAGGATCGCCAGGGGTCTCTCTCTCTCTCTCTCTTTCTCTCGCCTCACTTCTCCTCTCCGCCCCTTCCCCGTCTGTGCTTCCCTCTCGCTCACTATCACAAGTGTGGAGTTGTGAAGTTCCAGGCTCCCTCTCCTGCCTCGTTTACTCCTCCCGCGTGTCCGAGAGCAGTCCTTCCAGCCCCGAGGGTGACGGTGCTGGCAAGGAAAGGGGGAAGATGAGGAGGAGTGGGGAGGTAAGTAAGACGGGGCTAAGGGGAAGGCTGGGATGAGGGGTGATGACAGTGAATGGGGACGCGGGCTCCGGACTAGGTCGGACACCAGCCGGCAGCCAATGAGGATGAGGCGCATGCTCCAGTCCCCTCGCTTGCCCCAACCTCACCACCCCGCCTTAACCCCCTCCCACCCCACCCTGACCTGGGGCGGGGGATGTGAATGCTGCCGGGTCTTCCAGCTAGTGAGAGGCGACCTCTGTCTGAGCGCAGCGGCGGAGGACGGGAGGCTAGGGCGGCAATTTATTTCTGCGAGCTAGGGGGGAAGCCAGAAGGGACGCGGAGTGTGTGGGTGTGCGTGCGTGTCTCCGCGCGCGTGTCGGGTCAGGGGCTGGAGTGGGGAGTTAAACACCCATTTGAACAACCTAAAGGAGAAAAGAGATGTTGAATTCAGTGGGCCGCTCTTCTCCAAAGAGCTGGCCCGCTCTCCAGGGTCTCCCAGCTTCATTAGCCCCTCAGGATTCAGTCCTAAAAGGCCCCACCGTGGGCCCCGGGAGTCCTGGAGTGGCCGAGCGTCCGGGCCCACCGAGGAGACAGCCATATCGCCGCACGTTCACTCACTTGCCGGAAATCTGAGAAACAGCTATCCCTGTTTACCCACTCTACCAGTTTCTTCACTCAATTATAAACACCCCACCCCCTCCAGCCCAAGATTATATTGGCGGCAGACTTACTAAATTTTAGTGAACTGCGTTTCCAAGTAGAATGCAAAGACCGAACTAGGCTTTCCTTTTTCATTCTGGTGTCTCTGGTGGGACCATCCACATGAGGCCCAGAGGCCCAGCACTTTTAATAAAGTTTTAAAGAACCATCTGTTATGTAAGCTCTTCAGCCACCAGCCCAGCCACATCTTCAAAAAGTTTTCAGATCTCATCCCAACAAGATGAAAAACATTTTTTTCCAGCCTCATGACTGCATATGAAATGCCTCATATTCAGTGTCTGCTGCAAGACCGGGTAATTATCAGAGTCCACCCACAAGGGGGTGAATTTGAATCTCAAAAGACCTGAATTTATTCTATTTGAATGGCATGGAGATCACACATTCAAACTGTCCAGTCCAGTATTTGATGAATTGGAAAACACTCCAATCATCGCCACGATTAATCTACACTTTTACATGAAACGGGTTGTTCATCACCTACTGGTGTCTGGCAATTCAGAGGCTGTTGGCTCTCTAAATTTTTCTTTTTGTCATTTTGTTCTTTAATATATATTCAGAATCTAAGTTATTTAAATCTCAGTTTTGTAGCATCATCAAATTTCATAAAAATGTTTAAACTTGAGGGGAGGGAGACTGTCCATTAGTTTGGAAAGTGCAGTGGGCTGTGGTTGCCAAAATTAGGGACCCTTAAGATGCTCAGATTTCTGTGATAGTATCAAGTAACACTGTCAATCCATTTTCAATATTACTAGTTGTTTTAAATACCATTGTGAATTAAGTGCATATACACACACACATATATTTACATAGCTCAGAAAAGGAAAGGAATTACATCTCAGGGCTCAAATCAGTTCTTGCAGTGCTTTGTGGGTTTAGATGAACTTTGAAAACCAGTTTATTACAAAGTCTTAATTTAGGAGTGTCCTACTACAATCAAAGAGCTTATGGGGCACTTATGTAGCATCTTCACAAACACCAGGCTGGCAGCTATGAAGAACTCCAGACTCTTGGTCCTCAGAGGGAGCTTCCAGCTCAGAGCCAGAGGCAAGGAAGGTCCTCCGGTTGGTAGAGCTGAAGGAAGAGCTTAGGAGAGTTGCAGTCTGACAGACCATATATTTGTGGTCTGCATGGTGAAATCCTTGCCTGGACTTGAAGCAGAGCCTGACCTAGCCCAGGCAAACTTTGTGATCACATGCATAACCCAGCTTCAGCCCCCAGAAGGGGCTTGTTTAGACCATAGCATCTCTTCAGTCCAAGCCAGTCTGCCTTCACCTCACACAGCCCAAACCAGTAGTCGTAGTGACAGAGGGCCAGCTGACATTCATTTATCTCCTCCCCAAACCAGAGGAGGTGGTGAGGGGGAAAATAGGGGCTGGAGACACCGTTTCAAAAAGCCACCCTTAAAAAAAAAAAAAAAAAGTCCAAGATTGCCTTGCTTTGAGGCTCTTGTCCAGGCTGACCGCAGCAAACAAACGGAAGGGACACCGCAAACACAGGAGGTCTCAAGCAGAGAGAAAACTTCGGTGCTCCAGGCCTCCCGCTCCAGGGAGAGAAGAGGCTGGCTTAACCCTATCCCAGATCCCCTCGGCGTGGTGAAAACACCCCGCCCCCCCCGCCCCGCCTGCGGTGCACAAGGTGGGAAATCTTCCACTGCAATTGGTTCTAGTCAGAGACCGGAGGGCACACTCACCTTTTCACGGTTTTTCTCCTCAAGGAGTTTAGGGGAGCGGCGGAGTTCCCAACCCTGGGGCAGACACAGAGGGAGGGGCGGCGGCACCAAGGCCTCCGACACTACACTCATTCCGCCCTCCAAGGGCATCCATTCCGCACTCTCTTGAGTTCCCTCGGTCCGAATGTTCTGGTCCCTTGAGCCTTCAATTCGTCTGGGCCCGCATTGGAGCCACGGACCGCTTGCCCTGCGATGGGAGATCGGCCTGGGCGTCTCCCAGAACACCCTCTCGGAAGGAGAGCTGGGGGAGGAGGGGCCTGAGCCGCCCACGGTGCCTCCGGTCGGTTACCTGAGGATGGTTCTAGGTTGCAGAGGCAGCCGTGAGGAAGGAGAGCTAAGCGGACGCGGGAAGGGGGAGGCATTTGAGATGGGAGTAGGGGAATAGGGCCTGTATGGTCTAAACGTTGATGCGGGTAGTTGGACTGGCCGGCAGACACACCGATCGGCTTGGAATAATAAAGCCCCCATAGGCGGGCAGACGCATCCCATCCTCCGCCAGGGACATCTTTACCTACTGCCACTCTGCCTCTTAGTGGATGCACACTTAGGAATCCACCCCGTCTGCGGGAAACTTAACTGGTGGCAGAGACCACAGACCAGAAGTCGGGAGGCAGGGGGAGGCTGTTCCAGCTTTAGCTACCGTGTGCATTCTCAATTTCTTCCCTGCATTCTTCTGCCAACTTCTGGCAAACTTCTCTCCCCTTTCCTCTCTCTTCCCCCACGCCCCCACCTTCTTTCCGACGAGACTGGTCTCCAGGGCTCGTCCTTCCCGGTTCTGACTTTGTCTTAAAGCATTGATTGACGGTTGCAATTATAAAGAATGATGGCTCGGGGAGGCTCCCGCAGCCTTGATGAGCCGGAGGAGCGCAGTCCTGGCATATTTTATCCAGGCTCAGCGTTACGGGGCCGTGCGCCCCATTCACCCGGCGGGCTGCAGCTGAGGAGGTCTCGCACTCCCCACCCGCGAGGATGTAACCGCCTTGCTCTCCTCCCCCGCCTCCACTTCTCCGCTGTTCCGCCGCCCCATTTCAGAGAGCGCGCCGGGAACAGCCTGCCCTTGACCTGACCTGAGAATTGTTGGCCAGCCCCGCGCGCTTAACGCATGCAGGCTGCAAAGGGAGTGAAAAATGTCAAGATTTTTAGGACTGGTTCAACTTTCCTGGGCTCGGAAAACACAGGTCCCCAAGTAGAAGACCCACCCCTCCCGCGCGCCTGGGTGGGAAAAGCCTTGCATGACCCACACAACCTCGCACGAAACTTGCAAGTCTACATTCTTGGAAACAATTTCTAACGTCTACTCCATTTCTACTTTTCGGTGGTTTTTTAAGAAACCAGAATCATTACTTTTCTCGTAGCACGTGTCTAGTTCTCAGCCTCAGAAGAAACCTAGATTTTTTTCGAAAAGTCTCCACCAAGTGGCCGGGATAGCCAGAGGGGAAGGAGAAGCAAGTTTACCAGCCTACGGAAAACTCAGGCTCTGCCTAATTTTTCAGCGCCTCCCACTCAAAAAGCCCATCAGAAGGCTCTTTTGCCTTTCTCTGAAGATTAAGTTTAGCAAGAATTCCAGAGTTCCGCTCCTGAGCTCAGGGGGCTGGGCTATCCGCCTCCGCTTCCAGGCTTCCCCAGCCGGCGTCCAGGGCACTTTGCTTTAAGATGAGAGGGGTTAAATTTCAGGACAGACATGCAAATTACCAAGGAGGACCGTATTGGCCGAAGCTTTGAAAAAATAAATTTGAATAGGTGAGAAGTCGTGCCTTGTCAAATAAATAAATAAATAAATAAATAAATAAATAAATAAATATTCCTTCTGGTACACGTGTAAAGAACTACTTAAGACATCATCTGCCACAGCTAGGAGAGCAGGAGGAAAAACTGCTATCAATTTAGACACTCTACCCCTGGA